GTTTGTGTTTGTGTTTGTGTTTGTGTTTGTGTTTGTGTTTGTGTTTGTGTTTGTGTTTGTGTTTGTGTTTGTTTTTGTGTGTGTGTTTGTGTTTGTGTTTGTGTTTGTGTTTGTGTTTGTGTTTGTGTTTGTGTTTGTGTTTGTGTTTGTGTTTGTGTTTGTGTTTGTGTTTGTGTTTGTGTTTGTGTATGTGTTTGTGTTTGTGTTTGTGTTTGTGTTTGTGTTTGTGTTTGTGTCTGTGTTTGTGTTTGTGTTTGTGTTTGTGTTTGTGTTTGTGTTTGTGTTTGTGTTTGTGTTTGTGTTTGTGTTTGTGTTTGTGTTTGTGTTTGTGTTTGTGTTTGTGGTTGTGTTTGTGTTTGTGTTTGTGTTTGTGTTTGTGTTTGTGTTTGGGTTTGTGTTTGTGTTTGTGTTTGTGTTTGTGTTTGTGTTTGTGTTTGTGTTTGTGTTTGTGTTTGGGTTTGTGTTTGGTGTTTGTGTTTGTGTTTGTGTTTGTGTTTGTGTTTGTGTTTGTGTTTGTGTTTGTGTTTGTGTTTGTGTTTGTGTTTGTGTTTGTGTTTGTGTTTGTGTTTGTGTTTGTGTTTGTGTTTGTGTTTGTGTTGTGTTGTGTTTGTGTTTGTGTTTGTGTGTTTGTGTTTGTGTTTGTGTTTGTGTTTGTGTTTGTGTTTGTGTTTGTGTTTGTGTTTGTGTTTGTGTTTGTGTTTGTGTTTGTGTTTGTGTTTGTGTTTGTGCTTGTGTTTGTGTTTGTGTTTGTGTTTGTGTTTGTGTTTGTGTTTGTGTTTGTGTTTGTGTTTGTGTTTGTGTTTGTGTTTGTGTTTGTGTTTGTGTTTGTGTTTGTTTGTTTGTTTGTTTGTTTGTTTAATTGTTTGCTCTTTTTTTGTTGTTTGCTTGCTTGATTGCTTGGTTGTTTCTTTGTGCGTATGTTGTTTGATTGTTTGTTTGCTCGCTTGGTTTTTGTGTCTTTGTTTCTTTCTTTTTGTTGGTTGATTGGTGGGTTGCTTCGCTCGATTGCTCGCTTGCTTGTTTGTGCGACTGTTTGTTTGCTCGTGTGTGTGTGTGTGTGTCTGCGTCTGTCTCTGCGCTAGGCAAGCCTTCGACCTCATGCTCAAGCAACAGCAACTGCAATTGTCAAGAGCTTTGGTCTCTTGGGCCAGCCAGGCAGCGCTCGCATCCCGCCTGCCGGAAGAGCATTCTGGCAAGCTTCCAGGCTGCCTGCGCCAGTCGGGAGTTTCAGAGCTCTGTGGCCTTCTTGGCTCCGTTGACTCGTGGCGCTTTCTATTGAACGCTCTGACATCCCTTCACATCCAAACACATCAGCTCTCCTCTCCGGAGCATCGAGTTTCTGGTAGTGGGACTCCCAGCGTGGATGCCTTCCCACACAGCTCAGGCTGCAGCGCTAAGTACTTGAGGCTCTGGCCGCATGTAGAAGCGTCGCAGCTCTGACTCTGATTGCACCTGAGCTTTGGCCCTTTTATGCTCTGCCTGAGCAAAGCTGTGGCACCATTGCTTCCTCGCCCTCGCCCCTAAAGAATCAGCAAGATCTTGGGGTTGGCCAATCAGCAGCGCACCCGTGAGAACATGTACTTCTGCCGCGGCATGAGCGCCTCAGAGCGTGCAATATCACACGCTTCCGTGGCACCGTGGCAGTGCAGTCAACACAAAACCTTGTAGGGGCTGGCGCTTGCTGGCAGCGACTTTTTAGAGCACTGAGCAAGATAGCCCACGCGGAACTCTGCCGCCAAAATTCATGTGTGCATAGGCCCTCGCCCGCAAGGTTTCTTACGCCTTGGACTTCGAATTATTTAGCAAAAATGTAAACGCGGAGCACGACGCCCCGCGAGCACCTGAAACGATTGTCTAATCAACTCACGGCGCAATGATTGTTGTCTGTTCGTCGTGAGATGATGTTGGCTGTTAGTCGTTCATCGGACCACGGTCAAAACTTCTTGCTTCCCTAAAAGGGCATGAGAAATCTGGTGTCCCCAAAGGGATATACACGCAAACGATCGTTTGGACCAGAATACGTGATTCGACAGCAACGCGCAGAATTGCACGGAGCCGCCACAGTGCTGAAATGTTGACTGCCTGGCTAGGACTCGAGCTGCATACGCTGGACCAGTCCAGATGCCCGCAGCTCTGCAACCCGCGCCCACAAGGCTGTTGCCCTCCCCTGCTCCGGGAAGCTCTGCGCCAGTGTCAACAGGTACGACAGCGGGAAGTTCTTCAAGGCGCACGCCAACCTCTGCCACCTCCTGGGGGCGTCTTTCTTTCCGCAAGCGTTGCCAGGATTCTTCTGGAAAAAGCCCGCGAACTCGCGCGAGCACGCTTGCGCCAGCAAACTCGCACAAACACACTTGCACAGGCACGCGACTCAAGCACACCACGCGAGCAAATTCACATGAACACGCTTGCACGATAAAGTTCACGCAAGCACACTTGCAAGAGCAAACTCGCACGAACGGCTTGCACAAGCACGCTTGGGAAACCGGCACAAGAGATCAAACCTAATCTTTTCGCTCACTCGCATGAGCACACTCAGGGTTCCACTCTTTGATTACCCAAGATAGACTTAAACACTACCCTGGAGAAGTAAAAAAATGTCGAACCCTGAGCACACTTGCAAGAGTTCACTTGCGCGAGCAATCTCGCGCGAGCCGATTCGCACGAGCAAACTCGCGCAAGCACACTTACACGAGCAAATTCGCACGAGCACACTTGCAGGAGAAAGCTCCGCGATCACGCTTGCATGAGCAAGCTCGCACGAAGGAGCGCGCTTGCACGACCACGCTTGCACGAGCAAGTTCGCAAGAGCATACTTACAGGAGAAAACCAAAACAAGAAAACAAGCACAACATATTAAAACTCATCTTTGCTCTCACTCGCATGAGCACACTTGCAAGCGAGCAAACTCGCGCGAGCCGATTCGAGCAAACTCGCGCAAGCATAGACTTACACGAGCAAATTCGCACGAGCGCACTTGCAGGAGAAAACTCCGCGATCACACTTGCATGATCACACTTGCCAAAATGGGGCCGAACCCACTGTGCGACAATGACGTCAGGATTGGCGCGGTCGATGCGCAAAAGCGCAGCCTTTTGCGACTTTGCGAGGTTCCCTCTTTGACCCTCTGAGGGCTTGGCACGGTCGATGCGCAAAAACTTGAGCGTTTTGCGACTCTGCGCGGCTCCCACGCAACCCTGTGCTGTGGTCAATGCGCAAACACTGAGAAGCCTTGCGACTTGTGCGGGGACCGGCGTGGTCGATGTGCAAAGACTTCGGACTGTTGCTGCTCGGCGCTACGCCCAGAGAAGCTTGCGTAGGTTGCTTGCGCGAAAAATTTGCAGAGACACGTGCACAACCAGCTTGCGCAGAGAAAACCTGCATCGAGAACCTGCATAGACAAACTTGGGCAGAGAAACTCAAGCCAAGAACTTGCGCAAATAAACTTGTGCAGAGAACGTTTGCTTTCGGGGCACACGTTCTTCTGGTTTGAGTGGGTACCCCTTTTGTTCGTGCTTTTAAACGGAGAACAAAAGGAAAACTGAAGCCATTTTGGGGGGTCCCGTAAAAGAAGACCCGATCTCCTGTTTGGCTGCAGCTGCACTTCTATGGCTGTCTCTACCACTTCCATAAGCTTGTCGGCGAACTCTCTGCCGATGGTGTCTGCACGACACTTCATGGCCTGCAAGAGGAGCTGTGTCCGTACATTGGGAGCCCCTTGAACAACTCCCTGTTCCTCTTGTCCAAGTGGGGTCGCCGCTCGGCATGCTCACCGTGGCAGGGGCATGAGTCCCTGCCTGTGCCACCTGTACGAAACAAACAAGGCTTCGCACAAAGCTCTCGTCCAACTGATCCCGGGTTCACGGGCAGGGATACTCTGTGCCGCACCCGTCCTCTCTGCGGATTGCGCAGAAGCATTGCTGCCAAGGTCTGATGCTGTTGGGTAGTGCGTCCATCCGTCACTTGAAGCTGGGAAAGGCATCTCTGTGCCTGAGCCAGGGAAGGTGCTGAAGTCAGAGCCTGTCATGGCTTGGTTGCTACCACATGGATTGACTCTTGCCATGTTCGGTCCGCTCACGGCGGCTTGACTTTCACTGATGTTCTCCATCAGAGGGGGACGAGGCAAACAATCCCGACTCTGCTGCTGATTTTGCAACGGCTGACAAGTGATCCTTGCTTCGCGCATTTGAGAGGCAGCCTCTTGCAGTTCCAGAACCATCGTCTCCAACATCTTGCCCATGATTTGCTGAACTTTTGCCAAGAACTCGGCCAAGTGCTGGACAGTCACACTTTGTGTCTCACGTAGGATCTCTACATGTTGCTGCAACTGCTGACGTGCGTCAGATGCCCCAGTAGGGAGAGATGTCACAAGCCGGTCGCGGATGCTTTCTATCCGCCTGAAAGCGCTCTGACCATCCTGGCCATTTGTTTGGGCCTTTTGGAAGCTGGCAACTTCGTGCTGAACACTGCGAATGATACACGCAGACGATATGCGCAGTGCGCACTCCATGTGATTCAAGATTTCTTGCAGGACGCTCAAATTGTGCTGCATCTCCTCGTTTGGATGTGAATGGCTCGTGAGGCTCGTGGCTTCTGTTGGCGCAGGCAAGTCCGAAACCAGCGCAGGCAAGTCAGAAACCTCACTTGTAATTGACCGACCCTCTGGTTCATCGGCATCAGTAGAAGGTTCCCTCGGCACCCCAATCATGTTCTGCAGGTTCTCCACGCGCTCCGGCAACGAGGCGACATAGTCATGGCTCGACTCGAAGAACGCATGGGAGGGCCTGGTTCTACAGGGGTCGCTCTGCGACCTGGGCCGTGGGTGAGGTTGCTCCTCCATCCCATCGAACTGGTCCCCGATCCCCTCCACAGTGATGAAGGTGCCGTGGAAGGACAGCATCACACACACCCTACAGCCCTACATGCTTCCGAAGCGGCTGCGGTGCCAAGTCGCTTTTTGTTGTCTGATCATCCGCACTCAACACACATTGCCAGCCTTGTTCAAAAGCGACTGGTCTTGGCAAGCCCAGCGCTCGTTCCTCGACTGGCAATGAAATCTGATGGCCCAAGCAATCTTGATCCGATTTGAGCACTGTGGTGACTGTCGTTCACTCGTGGTGGTCTGACCACTCAGGGATTCCCAAGCCCCACAGTCGTCTCTGGAAATTCCTCACTCCATCTATACTGCTCTCAGTCCCGCTCCACAGTGGCCGCCATGCGCTCCTGCTCGGTCGTCACTTCTTAAAAGCTGGGTGCTATGATCGCCACATGCCAGTTGCCCGCACATTCAAAGCTGCCTCTTCTGCTGCGTCAGCCGCAGCAGCCCATCAGCATCCTGACCAAAACATGTGCTCAACACATCACTGCGTGTCCAGACTGGAACTCTGGGCACGCGTGAAGCTTTGAAACTGTGCTTGCCGGTGGCGCTGGGAGAGCCTTGCTTAGCATAGCACGACCATTGTGCGCACAGATATGAACCACAATTGCGAGCACCTTCTCGCGTTGCGCTAAACACACCTCGTGCCACCCATACTTTTGCACTTCTTTGATGCGCTTGCATAGTTGCTCGCTCATGCAAGTGTCAAGAAGAATCGAGCAAAGCTCCGCCAAGAAGCGACAACAAGTCTACGCCGACAACTAGTTGGGAGCGCTGCCTGTGGCAAGTTCTTGCGAATTTCTGCTGCCATGCAGGTTTCCCTCAATAGCAATGGCTCCAATTCAAGCTCCCACTGTGCAGAAATGACAGACTTCCTAGCAGCAAAGGCACGAAGGAAGGCTGCGAGGCTGAGTTTTCTTGAAACCCTTGCCATCTACGAGCGGGGACCCAGTTTTATAAGGCATGGTGTCTGAATACTAAACACAACCGGCCCCGACAAGCGTTTCCAGCCGAAGCAGTCTGAGAGAACCTGATTTTCATGTCAGCTGTAAATGTGTGCTGAATCTTGGTACACACAGCGAAAGATACCCATAAGCCCCTGATGCAAAAGAGCTCGAATGGTCATTTGCCCCACCACCACCTCAAGTTGCTGCCCCAAATTTCATAGGCCGAGTACTTACTGCCCGCAAAGCGCTATCCAGCCGCCAATCCCTGTTGGGGGGTAGGTTGTATGGAGCCAGCCAAGCCATCAATGGAAGAGTGTGGCAGATGAGTTGGAGACTTGCAGAAATCGATTGCCATTTGCAACACCAAACATCCATGCCAGTCACAGCGGCTACGCAGTCATGATAGGAGATCACACATCTGGAGAAGTTGCCCAGCATGGGCGACGCGACGGGCAGGTCACATGCGCGTGCAAGGATGATTTTGCACCAGTGCCAGTGGTGCAGATTCAAGAACTGGCAAAAGCACTTCCCTTAAAACTGTGCTTGCCACTGACGCTGTGCTTATTCGAGCGTTGTTGTCTGTTTATTTGTTTCGGTGATGCGAGCATGTGCGCCCAAGTGCAAATGCACGTGACCGAAGTGTGCTTATCATTGCTTGAAACTGCACGTTGCCACTGGCGCTGCGCTTGAGCAGGTGTGCTTATCATGATACCAACATGCACGCCAGTATGGATGCGTGAATGAAGTGCGCTTGCCAGCCTGGAGAATGTTGAAAACTGCGTTTTGACCTACGGCCATCTCTGAGCTGTAGTCCAACTACGTCTGACAAATCAGGAAAACAAGACCTCAATCCGAATTAGATCAACAACTGCACACAAGCCGATTCTTTGAGCACGACCATCTTGGACGGTGTGCCAAACCAAGCCTGTGCCCAAGCAAAGAAGGCTTCCCCTTTGACGCTTCAGGAAGCCTCTCAAAATCCAAGCTTGAGGAATCATGTGGGGCTGGCCAAAAGTCCCTATGCGCTGGTAGCATTCCGCTAGGCAGATTAAAAAGCCACAGTTTTTTTAGTCCTGCCTCCTTTCAAGGAAGACTTGGAGATCGTTCCCATCACAAATTGGGTGGAAGGCAAATACGGACAAGCGATTTCCAGGTTCGGGCCAGTTACCGGGCTGTTGTAGATGCTAGTCCGGGTGTGAGAATGACGCCATCGTGCCAGGAAAAAAAAAAAGTGGTCGCGCTGCATCTAGTACAAGATCATATCTTCACATCACCATGCTGAAACCTTGGATCGCTTCCACTACTCGCGCATGCCTCCATATCCACGATTGCGGCTTGAATCATCGTCCTGTTTGCACGGACGCAGGTGCTAGGCGAAGCGTTCTCAGCAAGCCGAGCGGGTTCTGCGTGCTGGTTTAGGCATCTTTTAGGTGCATTGTCAACGTGAGTTGCTTGGCTTTGCATGTTTTCTATTGTGGCGTGGAGTTAGGGCCCGCAACAAATGGGCGGTCTGGCGTCTACGATGGCTACTTCTACAATCGCCAATTTGAAGCCTAGAGCCAGCAAAACGTAGCGACCTAAACGTTGAGCTGCTCAAAACGGGTTTGGGGAACCCAGCAAGTTTGCCAAGTCACCAAGCTAAACCATTTGGGATCGATTGGCATGGATCCGCCTTCTTCGAGAGCCTGGGAGCAGTCTCGGGCTCATCATCGTCAGGCCTGGGCTTTTCGCTCACCCGCCAAGAAGCAACTGGCTTCACGCGCCCAGCTGCCAACGTGCCAAGAAGCAAATGGGAATGATGAATGATGTTGATGTTCAAGTATCCTCTAGTGTCTGAGACATGTTTGTCGTCCTGGTCACTGCAAGGGAGATGTGAACAAGGAGTGCTGCCACTTGGTCGCAGGCGCATATGACTTGAAGACTGGATTGCTGCTCCTGGCATCTCACGGATCAATCTTCGTCCGTAGCACCAGTCGATATAAGGCTCCAGCGCGCGCAGCCATCGATCATACTGCTTGTGACCTTCAAATGGAGAGACAAAATAAAGGTCAAAGCAACGGTGAGTACCCAACCCTAAGGCGCCAAGCCCCACACTAACCCGGCCCTGCACCTTCGAATCGAGCTTCGCCTAGAGCATGCGGTCATGCGATAGCTGACCTCTACCTTTCCTTTTGATTTGTGCAGCAAGCGCAGTCGATAAGCCCGAAACCATTAGACTGGATTCTCAGGCTGAAGCCCACTCGATTTCGAACTTGTCGGCTGTTGGTCTCTTCCTCCAGATCTGTTTGTCTGACGGCAACATAGAAATGCCACGGGCCGCGCCCTAGGAAGAAGCGGTAAACCTCCATGAACTCCTCTTTGTCCAGGAACTGGCATTCACTTCGACGCGCAGACAGACCGATCGGAACCCCCTGCGATTTTGGCAGTTTTCTCTTGTGTGTCATTACGTTAAATGATCATCAACATAGCGTGCAGCGCATGCTTACCTGTGACAGAGAGAGTGACCAACATGGGCTGGGGGCCGGGAGGATGGCCCTCACGTTTGAGCTTTTTGTGGGGATTGCCACTCACGAAGCAAAAACTGACGACAAACCCCCCTGTCTCGGCAGTTTTTGCAGACCTGGCTCTTGCATCGATGTCCCAACCACGGCAAGCTAGGCAAGTTGTGTACCTGTGATGGTGAGTCCTTTGTTGAATTTGCGCACAGAAGCTAGTTGCACCTTGCAATTTTGAGTATGCAAGGCACCTGTGCACCTCGAAACTTTGCGTGTGGAAGCTGATGCAGACAAGTGCACATGGCAGGGTGTCGTGCTTCTTGACGACAACTGTGGGTTGTTCCATGACAGCTGTTCCAGGGCGGTTGTTGCTGAAATGCAGGGGCTCCTATAGGCGCGGGTACCATACATATGTAGATGTACGTATGTAGGTATGTACGTAGACATACTTAGGTACCTGTGTATAACATATATATATATATATATTTATTTATTACGCGTATGTGCATATATGGTTATGTATATATGGGTCTGTTGAGCGTCCCCGTTTTGTGGTGGGTTTTAAAGGGAAACCAAAAGAAACGCCGCCATTTTGGAGGGTCCAAAAAAAGAGACAGACCCAACAGATATCCGCCGACCCCTTCTCCTAAGGGGAGGCGAACGGGCAGGGCGGCGACAAGATCGACATCATGATGGTCATCAGCATCTCGTTTTTTCGACTTCAATTGTAGCTCCGATTTGAGATGCAAAAACTGCGTGGACATGCCAAGCAAAAGATGCGTGGACATGCTTATCAAGATGACTCCTGGTGATGCTCAGGATGCGTCATGATGCTGATCTTTCGATTCGTCATCAATATCGTCATGATTACCATCGTAGTCATCAGCGTCTGTTTCTATACCATAACTTTCAAGTGTGGCGTTAGACACCATCAATATCCCCATCATCATCATCATCGTAGTCATCAGCGTCTCTTTCTATTCTGTACTATACATTTCAAGTGTGGCGTTAGACACCCTTGGCGATGAAGAGTCATGATTGTCATGATCATTGCTGGCGATGCTGAGGATGCGACATGATGATTCTCGTCCTATGTGAAATGCAAAAGATGCGTGGACATTAACATGATGACTGCTGGCGACGCTCAGGATGCGTCCTGATGCTGATCTTCCGATTTGTCGTCAATCTCGTCATCATCATCATCGTAGTCATCAGCATCTCTTTCTATTTCTATACTACACATTTCAAGTGTGGCGTCAGGCACCATTATTGCAGATGCATAGGACGTGTAGTCACGAGTATCGTCATGACTGCTGGTGATGCTGAGGATGCGTCATGATGATTATCATCCGATTGGAGATGCAAACGATGCATGGACATGACTATCATGATGCCTGCTGGTGATGCTCAGGATGCGTCATGATGATTATCAGACGAAGCAGTCGTCGTCAATATCATCATCATCATCCTCATCATCATCATCATCGTAGTCATGACCATCTCTTTCCATATTTCAAGTGTGGCGTTCGATGCAGAGGATGCGTAGTCATGATTGTCATGATGACTGCTGGCGATGCTGAGGAAGAGTCATGATGATTATCATCCATTTTGAAGTTCAAAAGATGCGTGGACATGCTTATGATGATGACTGCTGGTGATGCTCAGGATGCGTCATGATGCTGATCTTCCGATTTGTCACCCATCTCGTCATCATCATCATCGTAGTCATCAGCATCTCTTTCTATCACCCTCGTCGTCAATATCATCATCATCGTAGGCATCACCATCTCTTTCTATACTATACATTTCAAGTGTGGCATTAGAGACCATTGGTGATGTAGAGGATGCGTAGTCATGATTGTCATTCATGATGATTATCATCCTAGTTGAAATGCAAAAGATGCGTGGACATGCTTATCATGATGACTGCTGGTGATGCTCAGGATGCGTCATGAGGCTGATCTTCGGGTTTCTCCTCAGTCTCGTCATCAACCTCATCGATAGTCGTCAGCATCTCTTTCTATTCTATACTATACATTTCAAGTGTGGCGTTAGACACCCTTGGCGATGAAGAGTCATGATTGTCATGATGACTGCTGGCGATGCTGAGGATGCGTCATGATGCTTCTCGTCCTATGTGAAATGCAAAAGATGCGTGGACATTAACATGATGACTGCTGGCGACGCTCAGGATGCGTCCTGATGCTGATCTTCCGATTTGTCGTCAATCTCGTCATCATCATCATCGTAGTCATCAGCATCTCTTTCTATCACCCTCGTCGTCAATATCATCATCATCGTAGGCATCACCATCTCTTTCTATACTATACATTTCAAGTGTGGCATTAGAGACCATTGGTGATGTAGAGGATGCGTAGTCATGATTGTCATTCATGATGATTATCATCCTAGTTGAAATGCAAAAGATGCGTGGACATGCTTATCATGATGACTGCTGGTGATGCTCAGGATGCGTCATGAGGCTGATCTTCGGGTTTCTCCTCAGTCTCGTCATCAACCTCATCGTAGTCGTCAGCATCTCTTTCTATTCTATACTATACATTTCAAGTGTGGCGTTAGACACCTTGGCGATGAAGAGTCATGATTGTCATGATCATTGCTGGCGATGCTGAGGATGCGACATGATGATTCTCGTCCTATGTGAAATGCAAAAGATGCGTGGACATTAACATGATGACTGCTGGCGACGCTCAGGATGCGCCCTGATGCTGATCTTCCGATTTGTCGTCAATCTCGTCATCATCATCATCGTAGTCATCAGCATCTCTTTCTATCACCCTCGTCGTCAATATCATCATCATCGTAGGCACCACCATCTCTTTCTATACTATACATTTCAAGTGTGGCATTAGAGACCATTGGTGATGTAGAGGATGCGTAGTCATGATTGTCATTCATGATAAACATCATCCTAGTTGAAATGCAAAAGATGCGTGGACATGCTTATCATGATGACTGCTGGTGATGCTCAGGATGCGTCATGAGGCTGATCTTCCGGTTTCTCCTCAGTCTCGTCATCAACCTCATCGTAGTCATCAGCATCTCTTTTCTATACTATACATTTCACGCAGAGAATGCATAGTCAAGATTGTCATGATGACTACTGGCAATGCTGAGGATGCGTCATGATGATTATCATCCGATTGGAGACGCAAACCATGCACGGACATGATTATCATGATGACTGCTGGCGATGCTCAGGATGCGTCATGATGATTATCAGCCGAATTGAAATGCTGCAGATGCGTGGACATGATTATCATGATGATTGCTGGGCTGTTACATGATTGTTATGATGACGGTGGACACTTATCATCACAGTCATCATCCTTGTCACCCTCATCCTCAATATCATCATCATCATCGTAGTTCTCAGTATCTCTTTCGACACAAAACGTTTCAAGTGTGGCGTTAGAGACCATTGGTGATGCAAAGGATGCGTAGTTATGATTGTCATGATGACTGCTGGCGATGCTGAGGATGCGTCATGATGATTCTCGTCCTATGTGAAATGCAAAAGATGCGTGGACACGCTTAACATGATCACTGCTGGCGATGCTCAGGATGCGTCCTGATGCTGATCTTCCGATTTGTCGTCAATCTCGTCATCATCATCATCGTAGTCATCAGCATCTCTTTCTATTTCTATACTACACATTTCAAGTGTGGCGTCAGGCACCATTATTGCAGATGCATAGGACGTGTAGTCACGAGTATCGTCATGACTGCTGGTGATGCTGAGGATGCGTCATGATGATTATCAGACGAAGCAGTCGTCGTCAATATCATCATCATCATCCTCATCATCATCATCATCGTAGTCATGACCATCTCTTTCCATATTTCAAGTGTGGCGTTCGATGCAGAGGATGCGTAGTCATGATTGTCATGATGACTGCTGGCGATGCTGAGGAAGAGTCATGATGATTATCATCCATTTTGAAGTTCAAAAGATGCGTGGACATGCTTATGATGATGACTGCTGGTGATGCTCAGGATGCGTCATGATGCTGATCTTCCGATTTGTCACCCATCTCGTCACCATCGTCATCGTAGTCATCAGCATCTCTTTCTATTTCCTATACTATACATTAGGCTGCGTTGGTGATGCAGAGGATTCGTAGTCATGATTATCATCATGACTGCTGGTGATGCTGAGGATGCGTCGTAGTCATCAGCATCTCTTTCTGTTCTCCTTGTCATCAATCTCGTCATCATCATCATCATCGTAGTTATCAGCATCTCTTTCTATTTCTACACGTGTGCATTTCAAGTGTGGCGTTAGGCGCCGTTGCAGAGAATGCGTAGTCATGATTATCATCATGACTGCTGGTGATGCTGAGGGTGCGTCATGATGATTATCATCCGATTGGAGACGCAAATGATGCATGGACATGATTATCATGATGACTGCTGGTGATGCTCAGGATGCGTCATGATCTTTATCAGCCGAATTGAAATGCTGCAGATGCGTGGACATGATTATCATGATGATTGCTGGACTGTTACATGATTAATGTTGGACCTTGTTTACTGCGGCCCTCCCCCTGAAACAGTCAAAACAGTCCTGGGGGTCCTGAATAGGGATTTGGCGGGGGGCTTGAGTGACTTGAGTATTGCTTTGGTACTGCCACTAGTTAGTTTAGTATTGCCAGCATTGGTTTAGTATTGCCAGCACTTCCTGTTGGGTTGCCACTGCAATGCCAGCACTTCCTTTTGGGCAACCCTTTGCAGGACTGTTAGGGGCTTTTTTTTGGATGGATTTAGGTAAAGAATTTTGATGGTTGGGGCTTAGGATCAAATCAGGAATTCAGAGGCTCAGGTCTTGGCCTGCTAAG